GTAAGCGAGAGTTTTCTATATTGGGATTTGTCGTAGGGCCTTCAAGAAGTCAATTGATGCCTGAAGCGCTGATCTCCTTCCGTTGATTGCAGCCCAACGATTTTTTTGAAGAGTTGTTGCGTAAATTGTTTGCTTCCGAGCCTTTTAACACTTTGTGAAGCCGGGGCTGTTAGCAAAGTAAGGAAAGACAAAGAACGAACTTGTTGGTATCCCTAAGTCAGGCAGCATCTTTAGTAGGCATTCAGCATGTCTGAAGTGTGACTTCCATACATTTCTAAATTATTGCAAAACGACGTACTTACTTCGGAACGTACCACGGTCTATAAGATGGATATCTGACAATCAATTTCAATTTGTGCTGTAATTTTCTTATGATATAGGAAAGCACAGCGGAACTAGCTAGGAGTACAATAGTCTTACCTCTACCCAAAAGGTGACACCGTCATTTGGAAAACGCTTCAAAATGAACGTGCAAGTCATTCCATCGCTTGAACATTCATACCAGCTAGGAGGATTCCCCTGAAACTAGTGGCTTTTCAAAACAAGTTCACTTTGAATTCGCAAAATTCACGAGGTAGACTTTAAATTCGCAAAATTCCGCAAAGCCTTCTTTGACCTCTTCAAAGTCCCCTCACTGCTCCTTTTTTTTCATATATGGATGCTCAGCTTTGAATTAAATGGTATAGCCCCCTCTTTTGACCTAAAAATTTCTTTAAAACTTTCTGTGGACATGCATCGAGTGCATTTTACTTCATGTCTAGATGCTGACTCCACGGAGCCGGCACTCGTCCGCTCCTCTCTACCTTTCTGTCCCTGCACTCTCCCCCTTTCCCCTCGCTCCGTTTCTGAAAAAGGAGGTTGACAGAATGGATAGTAAAGCAGAAATAGAGAGTAAAAGCAAAAGAGGGAAAGCATGAGAATGAACACTAATGAAGGTAAAAAATCCGTGCTTTAGTCCTCTTAGCTGCACACTCTGCGATGAGCAAACTGCGATATTGATTTCATTTTTCCAACAAGAGATGCCAGAAGCCAGAAGCGAGGTGGCCAATCCAAGCAAGCTGCCTATTATTCGATGCAGCATTAAACCTGATTTCGAATCTATATTGCTTAGCGCCTTTGCGGACGAGTTATGAGCAGTTTTAATGCGAAAAATCGTACAAAAAATTGTGAAATTGACCAGTTTGTTGCGCTTTCAGCTCACCTTTAGGATTTAAAGGCAATGTCCAGGTAAATCTGGGCACATGGGTTTTCCGCCTGTAAATTGATGAAGGTGTCATAACTAAGGCACTGCCCAAGGGGCAGCGCAAATAGTTCATTCACGGCTGAGACATCCCTCCCCGAAAACCCCACGCCTGCGCCGTGACCGTAACCCGAAAACGACTTCACTCACTTTAACATTACGTTCGCGCTGGGACCCATGCAAAGTGTTACGGTCACGGCGCAGCCGCGGAGTTTTTGGGGACGGATTTTTCAGCTGTGATTGAATAATTTGCGCTGCGGTTTGGGCAGTGCCCTGGCTAGAACCTTCTCATTAGTTTCCAGGCAAAAAACCCACATGCCAGATTTGCTTGGCCACTGCCTTTAAGAACAGGTAACTTACAAAGGATTGATCAAAATTTGAAGTGGCCAATCCCCGCAAGCCGTACACGTCGGACACTCCATGGAGGGCTGATTACATATCCGCTCTCAGTATCTTCTCATCGGTTTCCTACACGAAGTTATGGCCCTCGATTTCGCCGTGAGGCCGGCGCGCATCATAAATGCTCGTCGCCCGCCTCTACAAACCATGGTGAACGCATAGCGCAGCGATAAGTGTGCAAACTCATAGGACGATCCCCGACTTTTGTTGGCAAGTTTGACTCCTTTTGCTTGCTACTTTGCAATCCATCTCTAATATCTATATTGTTAGCCTGAAGTCCCTAACGCCGTTAAAAGATATCTAAAAATTTCAAAAACTCGTATTTTTTGAGCAAACTCTCTTGAAAATTAAGGATCATAATGGAAGCAAAATTAAAAATGGTGATTAGGAATGCAAGAACCAACAGAACCAAGTAACAAGAAATAGAAAGCCGATACTGACGAATAGAAACATAGTTTTAGGTATGTTAAATGACCTTGGAACAATAGTCAGTATCAGTATCACACTTGTAAGCCAAGTTGTACGCATAACGCAGTGGTAACTGCACAGACTTATAGGACGAGGCTCGACCTCCTTTGTCTGCAAGTTCAAATCCTTTTGCTTGCTACTCTTTTGCAATCCGTCCTTAGTATTACTAGCTGGCAAACCCGGCTCTGCCCGGCCCTGTCAATGATATATTCGTAATCAGCATGCTCACATACCCCCTGTGCCAACTCCCAGCCCCATAGCTCGAACTTTTTGAATCAATAAAATCGATATCGATCGATGACGAAAAGTAGTCTATGACACCCGCCCTTTATCTGCCCGATAATTTCGTATTCCTCATAGCAATGCATAGAGATGTCGAATCATTTTCGTAAATGTACATTTTGTTATGTCTAACGATTGAGTCAATGCTCTAATATTCATTTTACGGTATTTCGATTATGTGATGTTGTTCGAATTATGTTGTCTTATTCAGGAAATAGCGTACGAAGAGAAGAGAGTAGCATGATATATAAGCTCGCTCTGAATTGTCACCTTGCTTATCGCCCATATGCTATAAACTTCTCCATCACCTTCGCGGTCACTTCCAAGTCAAATCATCTGGCGACCACGGCAGGATTTCAACAGCCATTCCCTCACATTTTCCGTGCGGCTGCACCTCCTCCACCATAGTAAGCTCAAGTCCAAAAACTCCTCGTCGCCACTCTCTTCTATCGCTCACTGCCGCTAATCATCGACACAAATCTTGACATCAAGAAAAACCGCCTCAAGAGATGCCAATTCCTGACAGTATAGTTCTTCGGAGACAAATTGGTTTCTTCAAAAAACAGTTGCAACGATACTGTTCTGCAGCCACTGATATCTTCAAGGAGTACCGAACTGAACCATCTCAACCTACTGTAAGCCATTTGAACAACGACGATCTGGAATCTTTCCGATTTGAATTGACGTCCACGAAGACAAACTTATTGAAGACTTACAATAAAATTGCCAAGCTCCACGACGAATGGACAACACTTCAAGACTCTAACCCACTCGAGCAAAAGGTCTTTGAAGATTACATCACGAAGAATGGAGACTATCGTGCAGACATTGCTCTCGCTGTCAACAACCTCGAACAGTTTGATGCTATTCTGAATGTTCTTGACGCAGAATACGTAAAACGGGAACTTCATCCACCCTCCGAATCTGATGGGACACACGCAGAGGACGACGAAGTCCACAGTGATAGCCTTGCAAATCAAAGAGGACGCCTTACTCACCCAGCAACTTCTGCTCCAGATGCATCTCTACTTAACTTTGTAGATGCCTCAATTCTGACAAAATTGGACTTGCCAACCTTCGATGGCAACCTGCTGGACTATCCCGAATTCAATGCTCGCTTTTCAATACTTGTCGCCAACAAGATCCAACTTGACGACACTACGAAATTCTCACTATTGAAATCATGCCTGCGCGGAAGAGCATTACAATCGATCCAAGGACTTTCAATGATGGCCGAAAACTATCACATTGCCATGGACATACTGAAGACACTTTATGATGACAAGGTGACTGTCAGGCACATCCTTTTCACTAAACTGGCACAGTTGCCGCCCTGCGACCCTGAAGGACGCCATCTACCTATCCGGTATAACCAAATGTTTTCTCTCGTCCGACAGTTTGCAAACAACCATGATGACTCCTCTAAGACTGCCCTCGGGGCGCTCCTTCTCAACAAACTACCTTTGCGAGTGAGAAGTCTGGTATATGACCGCACTGCAAACGATCACAACGTTTCCCCATCGGAGTTACTCCACCTATTAACGGACATTGTTCGAAAAGACTCTACCCTGTTCGAAATGGAATCATGCGCGTTTTCCCACCCATACAAGAAATGCGACTCAAGGATTCCATGTAGTACTCAGCAAAATACCTCGGCCACGCAAGATTCCAGGTGAAAAGAAAAACAATCGTAAGTGCCAGTTCTGCGATTCAACTGCTCATTAAACAACAGAGTGTGATGCCTTCCCCACAGCAAAAGAGCGCATCGATCAAGTAAAACGACGGAAACTTTGCTTCAATTGTCTTTCAACTTCTCACAGTACAAGAGAATGTACGTCGAAATTCCGTTGCAGGTTTTGCTCTAAAAAACACCATTCTTCATTATGTTTTCGATTACATCGCTCTCAGACGGCTTCCATATCGCCTAGTCATAACAAGCACACTTCCACGCAATCAACACGCCGCCATAATGTAACGCCTTCTACAAACCGATCATCGAGGCTGCAGAACCATACAGTGCACTTAGAAGAACAGAAAAAAGAGCTTGTTAACTCTTCTTCTGATCCGAAGGAACAGCCAATTGACTCACAAATCGACGTTCCTACAATGCAAGCTCCTGTCGCTTGCTCAACCAACAATGCAACGAATATGACGAATCAGACTGCACTGATGTGCACAACTGTAACACTCTTCAATCCAAATCACCACTCGCATCAAGCGACAGTAACGGCATTTTTTGACAGCGGCTCCAACAAGTCATACATCACCGACGAGATTGCTACCATCCTTCATTTGCCTACTACAGGAACCGAACATATCAGCCTCTCCACCTTTGGGAAAGTCGAATCCTTGGAACTGGAATGCCGAAATCACATAATCGGCCTGTATACCGAAAAGGGAGTCAAACACCCAGGTAAAATCTGTGCCGTTGCTTACTGGAAATCTCCAACGCATTCACATCCCGGAAGGATCAACGGGTAATGCCACCTTTTCTGCCTGCAAACCGTCCATTCTTATTGGAAATGATTATTTCTGGGACATTATATTATCAGAAGACTTCCATCACAGAACCTCAAAGAATTATCGAATTCTGCATACAGCTATCGGAGACATGGTTGTGGGGAGAGCTTTCAAAGCAAAAAATTACACCACATGCACTGCCGTCAACTCCACTACTGACATCGATGCGTCAAGTCCTACGAATCACGAAGAACTCGTTGAATTGGTCAACAACTTCTGGAGACTTGAAACAATTGGGATACTGGACAACCCTTCTCAACAAGATGATGAACAATGTCTTAAACACTTCAACAATACTGTCTACTACGATGAGACACAGAAAAGGTACGTAGTGAAATTACCATAAGATGAATCCATTCGAATTGCCCAACAACTTTTCTCTTGCGTATTCGCGCCTGTGCGCGCAGCATAGGTTTCTACAACAGAATGTTGCTTACCTTCAGAAATATCATGAGATTTTCAAAGACCAACTACAGAGGCAGATCATCGAGCGAGTACCGACCAATGATGTTACAAATTCTTGTCATTATTTGTCACATCATGGAGTTGTCAAGAAGGACGGCGAAAACATAAAAATAAGGTGCGTATTTGATGGATCTGCCAAACTAAAAGGACGTCTCAGTATCAACGACATCTTGCATCGCGGACCAGTACTCCTACCAGATCTCACTGGAATCCTTCTTCGGAGCAGACTCTACAAGATTCTAATCTCAAGCGACATAGAGAAAGCCTTCCTTATGGTTGGCTTACACGAAGACTCTCGAGATTACACACGTTTTCTGTGGTTGAACGATCCAATGAAGCCCATAAGCTCCGAGAATTTAGTCACATATCGTTTTGCACGTGTGCCGTTTGGACTTATTTGTTCCCCGTTTCTCTTAGCTGCTACGATACACTTCCACCTTTCTTCGATTACCGCGAATGTAGCTCGACATCTTCTTCGAAACACTTACGTTGATAATATCTTCCATGGAGTAGAAACAAGCAAAGACGGAGTCACCTTTTACAGGGAATCGAAAAAACTTTTCCTTGCAGCCGGAATGAACCTACGAGCCTATGCGAGCAACTCAAAAGAATTGAATGAGTTCTTCGAACAGAACGAGAAATGTAAAGTTCAACAAATACAGAAACTACTTGGATTACACTGGAACACAGAGGATGATACACTTATCATTTCGTTGCCTGAAACACCTAAGAGCAACTTCATATGGACTAAAAGGAAAGTTTTGAAATATATCGCTCAGATCTACGACCCAATCGGATTATTTTCACCGGTCCTTCTCATTGGAAAATTATTTCTTCAATCACTCTGGAAGATCGACTTATCTTGGGATGAAACCCTACCTAACAAGCAATACGACAAGTGGCATCAAATAATCTCTTTCTGGACAATACCAGAACTAACTATACCAAGATTGCTCATCGATCCGAATGATTTCTCAGCGGATTTCGACATTCACGTATTCACCGATGCTTCAGCTAACGCCTACTGCGCCGTTGCTTATATCGTACAACGTCACACGGACAAACCCACAAGGATATCGTTACTTATGTCAAAGTCCAGGTTAGCTCCACTCAATCAATCCATCACAGTTCCACGACTGGAACTAGCCGCACTGATGATTGGCGCAAAACTTCTCACATACCTCACGAAGCAACTCGACCTCCGTATTTCTAAAAAGTATCTTTGGACCGATAGCATCGTATCTCTTGCTTGGACTAAAAGCAATAGAGATCTTCCCGTCTTCGTCCGAAATCGTGTAAAGATTATTCTTGAAAACACCACAGATGTCATTTTGAGGCATATTCCCGGTGAACTCAATCCTGCGGATGTAGGAACACGAGGAGCTGCAGTTGAGGAGCTGCTGAAGTTTAAGCAGTGGTGGAACGGACCAAAATTCCTCATGGAGAAACCAGAATCGTGGCCCTCAAATTTATTGGAAACTCTTGAAACTAGCAACACAGACACTGCAAAAGAAGGAAAAGGGAAGAAGTCTCAAACGTTTCTGTGCGATCCGCTTTCCACGTCTGTCTTTTTATCTAACAAAAATGACGGTCCTAACAATTGGAACAACATGGTCATAGATGCGTCACGTTTCAGCACATGGACCAAGCTAGTAAACACCCTCGCGTATGTTCTGGAATTCATAACAAATAAGATACCACGAACGACTACGGTATTTGGATATTCAAAGGCAACACGTCTGAATCACGCAGAAATTATTATATTTCGTCTTGCTCAAGCGATGACTCCACCACCCGAGGAACACAAAAAACAACTTCATCTTTTCCAGTGCGCCCAAACTCGATTATGGAAAAGTAAAGGCCGAATAGACCACGCTAATCTACCTTCAGAAGCAATTACTCCAGTCTATTTGCCACGCTTAAACAGGATAACCTCACTTTTTGTGCTCCACATTCATCAAGTCAACAACCATTGCGGAGTTAATCATACCCTGACACTCTGCCGCCTACGGGCATGGATACCTCAAGGACGAGCCGTAGTGAAGAAAATCATACACAGCGACTGCTATCAGTGCAAACGATATCAAGCAAAACCATACGTTCTTCCACCCTTCCCCGTTCACCCAGACAAGAGAGTAAAACCACCTCAATATTCATTCCAGAACACCGGCATGGACTTCTTTGGACCTCTTTCATACAGGACTCAAGAACAGTCCATTGGAAGCTACTGGATGCTTCTATTCACATGTTTGAATTGTCGAGCCATCTACGTAGACACTCTTCTCGACATGTCTGCGCACACCGTCCTACACACTCTGCGACGCTTCTTTGCCACCATGGGATGTCCATCTTGGATTATCTGTGATAACGCTCAATCGTTCAAAACAATCAATCGTTGCTTCACTTCTCTCCCTGAACCTCATACTGATCCAGACATAATACTGATACAGATACATAATACGATTACTGCTCAGAACGACGAATTGAAATGAAATTCATTCCAAGCCTAAGTCCATGGCAAGGAGGTATGTACGAGAAAATGATAGATATCTTCAAGAAGTCATACAAATTCGCCATCGGAAGCAATTTGCTCGACAATGAAGACATCAAGACACTAGCCAAAGAAACTGAGGCTATAGTGAACACGAGACCACTCACATACTATGTTGACGAGTCGAATTACTTGCCATTACGTCCAATCGATTTCATTCAACCGTATACCTTACTCAGCAGCATTTATCCAAAGGACCAAGAAGACGACTGGATACCGTACCCGACAACACACACAACATTGCTGGCGGAGTGGAGTCGTACAAACAAATTCATTTCCAACTTTTGGCAAAGATGGACCACCGAATACCTGACCACACTGCGAGAACACTACAAGGACAAACACAAAGAACCCAGGTTACACGAAAATGCCCCTCCAAAAAAGGGAGACTTTGTCCTCATACACGACCAATACTTAAACCGCGGACAGTGGAAAATGGGAGAAGTGATAGAATCCAAGGATGATTATCGAAGATCAGTTGAAATACGCTTGCCTTCAAAAAGAATCATAACACGTCCGAATAACCTCGTCCACAAAATGGAACTAGATCCGGAGCAAACAACGAACCTCCGAGAAGAAAACCGATCCGCCTCCCCCTCCAACGAAAAATCGCAATCGAGACACCCAATGATGACCAGGTCAAGAACAAGACTACAGGCAAACAATATCCTTTTATGCCTTAGTCTGCTTTCCTCACTTGCAATTGTGAAACCTCAGACTATACTCGGATTCTACAACACATCTATAGAAGCAAATCATAATCGATGTCCAGAAGATTTTACTGTAGAAAAAACTGTACTGTACGCGACTAATTGCGTAACCAGAGGTATTGCTATCGCAAGGATTAACAACGATGGAAATCCTCTATGTTGGTTTCCTGTTTTGTGTCCGCTAGGCCACATACGATTCCAAGCCAACTCCTCAACATTGTGTGGAAAAGAATGCAAGTGCCCTTCTTGGACATCAACATGCTCTTTCAGTGATAGCTCTTACACAACGTTGTCGTACCTCGAACAAGTACCATCCTTTTTCCTCCATTACCAACCCAATTACGTGTGCTCGTTCAAGTCTTCCACTTCATGCGATTCAATCAAACGATTGGGATTATTCAACCAGGTACAGCTCTACGACGACACGCTACTTTTAGTGGAAAACCTAGTGATAGACATACGCGACTATATCGACAAATACGACTTTTTATGTATAGACAAGAAAGGTTGGAAGCGACAAGCAACAAACTTTGTCACTGGAACATCACAATTTTGCAAAAGACACAAGTGCAGCCCAAGAGCACGTCTATTTTGCGCCTACGACAATCCTTTAGCATTGCTTGTTCTCGATGCTACATCTAACCTAACTATACCGATCAGAGCTTGGGGCTCCATAGCGAAGACGTACTATGGATATCCCACTAAGGCCGTGAACACCAATAATCATCAAAATGATGCCATCGTTACCTTGAATGCTGATGCTGTGACCACAACTGACATACAACTCGTCACAAATTGCTCCAAAGGAGGACTGTTTTTGGCCATCAATACCAAATACGAATTCGTGGAGGCTTGCATAGAACAATACTGTGTTTTCTTTCAGCAAGTACCCACCTACGACATAGTATTCCCAAACTCGATCGTCCTGTACGACTACACTGTCACAGTCGCTGTCTGGATCAACTCAAAATCCTACACAAGAAAGGTACACTGCAAGGCACATCCAATATGCGAAATGCTACTATGCTCCTTCTGTCTAGAACGACTCTACAACACACAGTGTTGGACACTGACTGAGATGGCTCTCGCTTTCGCAGGCGCATTACTCATTCTTCTCATATTACCATGGATACTTCTTATCATAAAGATCGTCGCCTTTTTCCTAGGAATCATACGAAACCTCTTGAAGTGCACTTATTACTGCATGAGAAACGTTTTACCCGTGAGACGCCAATCGGAATTCCAGCCATCACGACACAACTTTCCTAAATACGTCAGCAAACGGCAACGAATCAAGAAAAAATTGCTGCTTAGCCTTCTCGTTTCGTTGGTAAAGTTACAGCACACACGAGGATGCTCACAAGTCACCTCTATCGCCGCTACCGAGAAAGTTTGCGTCGTTTTCAATCAATCCGAAACATGCACCTTTGATGAAGCCACAATTATGACACTCCAGCCTCTATCGCAGGAGACATGTCTTGCACTTAAAGACCATCAAGGCGTTGTGCTAGCAACACTCTCCGTCAAAATTGACGGCATACGTTTCAAGTGTCACAAAAACATCGAGTTTTTCACTAGAGATCATCAGTTGAAATCAGAGTCAATCCACAGATGCTACCTGGCTGGCAGTTGCCAGGAAAACACATGCGACAACACTTCACCGAAGGACAAAGTAAAGGAAATCTCGGACACAGCTAATGACCATCCAGGCTACACATATTGCTCGTCCAGCTGTGGATGTCTTACTTGCGAAGGTTGTTTCATGTGTCAACCTAGTTGCCTATTTTACCGGATCTATGCTACACCTACGAGCTCTACGATTTACCACGTATTCACTTGTCCTAGTT